CTCCTCGCTGTCGCTGTCCTGGAATACCAACGTGTTCTACTTGAACAATTATATCCAAAGCAAAAATTTATTAATTTCAAGCTCTTACTTACTGATCAAGTACACGGGAGCATAAATTCATGCATGTACAGAGAAGAAATACACGATTGTCGTACTATAAAATCCTTTATAAAGCTACAGAAAATTATTTAAATATTTTGTATGCTACAAAGCAGCATCCAATTATTGCCATCTTGTTTGGATGGTATGGCACATCTAGATCCATCCTTTGCCCATGCTGAGGGACTTATGTACCCAAAATGGCCAGTATTTAATGACACTGAAGAAATTCTTACGTTTCCTCAAACCAAACAGACGAATACAATATATCAACATAGTAATAGCCATTAAAAAATGAATTCCAACTAACAAATTTGCTCTTGGCAGGCTGTATCATAGCTCCGTCTGGGTGCTCGGCTAGACGCCGCTCTGCTGCTTCTCGCTTGTGCTTCAACATGGCCTCCTTCTCTGAAGCAGCTTTCTCTCGCTCAAGCTGTAGAAGTGCAAGCTATTAAATAAACTAGCTGTGTTGACCGAGCTCAATTTGGCATCTGAGCGCCATAGCAAACACATCTGCTGATATTTTTTTAGAAAGACTGAGGAAATGCCTGATTTTGGGTAATAAATCAAACATTCGTCATCATAATGAATCGACCAATTATTAAAATCGTTTTTATTAATTAACACTGTATTAGAGAAAAATATGAACATTTCTTAATGTAAAGGAGCAGAAAATATATTCATATGAATAATAAATATACTCAAAAACTATCAACAATCCATTCATACTAAGGGTACCGTACATTAATGTTAACCTAATCCTGTGCGTTAGGAGAAAAGTAAATAACCGTAAGAAAATATTTTTAGAAGAATCTTACGATATTTTGGACGACGATCATAAATGATACACAGCATTATTTACACGGCAAAAAAAAAAAAACATTTCGATGATCACTCTTTTCCAACCAAAAGTTGTCCAGAAATCCTTTATGCAGCTTATTTAACAAGTTATGGGCAAAAAGTAAACCAGGATCTAAAACTACAACACAACACTTACCTTTTTCTGTTTTTCTCTTTCCATCTTTTCCAGCCCTTCCCTGATCCACAGAGGAAGTTTTTTGCGCTGCGCGGCATCTAGCTGGAAGTCCGCCTCTTTTTCTGGAATGTCTCGCATGCCTGACAATAAATTGTTATCAGCTTCATAAAACAGGATAAAGGTAAAGGTAACTTCATAAAACAGGATAAAGGTAAAGGTAACTTCATAAAACAGGATAAAGGTACCTATATTTCAAAATTAAACACTAACAAGATGAAAATCAGGAAAAGTGTTCCAAGTCAAAAATAGCATTCTAAATACAAATTAAAATTAACACAAAATAGCATTCTAAATACAAATTAAAATTAACACATGTGAGCAAACATGAATCGTTTTTATTGACGGTAGGTAACTGAGGCATACGGCCTACAACGACGAGGTAAAGCTTTAGAAAAAATATACATGGAGCAAGGGAAGTTTAAATTTTCAGCAATAAATGATTTCCTAGCCAACGTTGAAAGTGCAAGTCAAGCGCAACATGATTAATGAAATAGATAACATAAAATAACCGCGAATATTGGAATGTTTTTTACTGATTCACTCAACCTCATGTCAAATATTATCCAAATATTCTAATTTTAAAACTCAACATACCGAATAATAAAACCCAATACAAAATGTTAAATGAGTACATAATGAGAACAGAATATCTTTTAGGACATTAACTCACCATAATCCATGCGGGCTCGAGAGCTACTCGAGGAAGACCTGCTGTGTCGGACGCCATGTTCATAGTCGGTGGTGATGGCTGGTACCATGTGATGTTCTCCAACTCCGTCACCCCACAGATACTGATGGTATGAAGTAGATTATTTTATAATCTTTCTTTGCTTTTACTCAGCAATCCTAATCAATTCACAAGCAATATAGCTAATTATAAAAAATATTCAATTTTCAAAAGATAGCCTTGGCATAGAGCAACAAATTGTAAGATGGATAGGTTACTATCAACGTACTGCCTTTAAAATCATAGAAGGGATGGTCTTGTAACCCATTGTATTTAAATGACCTGTGGATGACCTAAGAGAAAAGTTTGGTGCCCAGGAAGGACACTTGAAAAAGTACAAAGAGTAATAAAAATATAAGATACTATAAATAAATTTGTCAGTGATTACGATAAAAAATCTGGACTAAAAATTTAATATTAACTAACAGCCATGAATCGAGCATTGTTGAAAATTTATCCCAACCTTGCCTAATTAATTTTGCAGTTATCAGGGAAGCCAAAACTAAAGAACCACACAATACTACAATCAAAAACAACAGGTAAGGTATGCTCACAGGAAGAACTATGAAGACACACATGAACTACATTAAAAGAAAACAGATTTACTTACTCCTTCAGTGGGGTATGTGGAACCCTCGACACTCCAGCACTCTCCCCTCACTGCAGCATCAGCCCCCCAGCCCCAGTTGTTGTGCTCATGGCTGCTGGTGTTATTCCAGCCCCAGTTTTCTATGGGAATTTAGAATCAGTCACAATTTGTACATAGGAAAACAGACTAGGAATATTAGACTAAAATCATTGGGCAAGAATCTAAAAAAAATGGTTCCCAGAATACCAATAGCATTTAAATTTTATGCCATAACATCTTTAAATACGACTTATGTGCTTTATAAACTTGTGAACATATACCTAACTCATGCACATATGTATGGTATGTGCACACGTATTTTTTATTTTTTGTCTATCCAAAACCCATAAAATTGCTCAAGGCAGCTGAGGTACATATATATAAATAATGTAAGTTAATATTATTATTTGAAGAAATATTTTTACAAGAAGCACTCACCATTAGAAGCACCAAGGGCCCACCCACCATTAAAAGGTGCCCCATTGTGATGATTTGGCTGCATGTTGCTCACTACTTGGGTGGGAGTAACAACAGTAGTGTCATCTTCTATTTCCATGTCCATTTCTCCTCCATCTTCATGTTCATCAGAAACAGTAGTGCCTGGGGGTGGGGGGATGGATAAATCTTCTGAGGTAGGCATTGGAGGAGGAGGTGGTGGTGGGGGTGCCGCTAGGTTGGCAGTGGTGACAAAAGTGGTTTCCGCTGCGCATGTCGTGGGAGCAACAGAAGCATCAGATGGAACAGTGTCTTTCATTTGTATCCATTGCTTTGCCAGTGTTGCCCAGTCAACTGCAAGAAACAATATCTGTTAAAATTTTTACTATTTACACGTTTAGGTTCTATTCATGGTCAAGCTTTACATCAATTATGTAACATAGAAAATTCCTGAGTATTAGAAAAACATGCATTTAATCAAAAATAACTATAATAAGACAAACAAATATTAATTGAAACATAAGATATTGAAAGTCTGAATAAACTGCAAATAATCATGGCCTTGTAATAATTTTGAATCATCAACAAAGCAAGCAAATCTGTGCTTTTCTTGAAAGTGCAGTAGTATCAACTTTAATTAGTATCATAGGTGGGTGGTCAATAGGGTAGACTGAAAAAAATTTTTGGAAGCTCGCCATCCGTCTATGTCTTATGTAGACAACTGCCAAATGAATCCCCCTTTAAAGGATTTTCTAAAACAATATCTTGAGTTGCTGCAAAGTCATTGAAAGCGGCTTTGTCATTTGCCCGGTGTCCACAGTCCACATAATAAAAATAATAGTCGGATAGCAAATTTCCAGGAAAGTTGTTTTTCAGTCCACCCTAGTGGTCTATCATTACAGTATTTTTTACCTTGCTGTCCATAACTTTAGACAGGAAAAGCTAAAGCAACCTAAACAATTCATTAAAAATACTTCACCTTGATCATGTTTCATGCTCAGATTAATTAAAAATACATCACCTTGATCATAATTCATGCTCAGATTTATTAAAAACACATTGCCTTGATCATGATTCATGCTCAGATTAATTAAAAACACATTGCCTTGATCATGATTCATGCTCAGATTAATTAAAAATATAACTCAGTACTCACGGCAGTGAGTGACAAAAAGCGCATTTTCTCGTCGACAAAAACTTGAGGTAACAGACAGACAGACAGACGGACATGGCGAGCACAATAGTGAATTTTTTCCATAAATGAGAAAATGCGCTAAAAATACATCACCTCCAGCATGATTCATGCTCAGATTAATTAAAAATACGTCACCTTGATCATGATTCATGCTCAACTTTATTAAAAATACATCACCTTGGTTATGATTCATGCTCAACTTTATTAAAAATACATCACCTTGATCATGATTCATGCTCAGATTGATTAAAAATACCATCTTCATCATGATTCATGCTCAGATTAATTAAAAATACGTCACCTTGATCATGATTCATGCTCAACTTTATTAAAAATACATCACCTTGATTATGATTCATGCTCAACTTTATTAAAAATACATCACCTTGATCATGATTCATGCTCAGATTGGTTAAAAATACATCACCTTCATCATGGTTCATGCTCAGATTAATTAAAAATACATCACCTTGATCAACTAATTAAAAATACATCACCTTGATCATGATTCATGCTCAGATTAGTTAGAAATACATCACCTTGATCATGGTTCATGCTCAGATTAATTAAAAATACATCACCTTGATCATGATTCATGCTCAACTTTATAAAAATACATCACCTTGATCATGATTCATGCTCAACTTTATTAAAAATACATCACCTTGGTCACGATCCATGCTCAGATTAATTAAAAATACATCACCTTGATCATGATTCATGCTCAGATTAATTAAAAATACATCACCTTGATCATGATTCATGCTCAGATTACCTAGTTAAAAATACATCACCTTGATCATGATTCATTCTCAACTTTATTAAAAATACATCACCTTGATCATGATTCCTGCTCAGATTGATTAAAAATACATCACCTTGATCATGATTCATGCTCAGATTAATTAAAAACACATCACCTTGATCAACTAATTAAAAATACATCACCTTGATCATGATTCATGCACGGATTAATTGAAAATACATCACCTTGATCATGATTCATGCTTTGATTAATTTAAAATACATCACCTTGATCATGATTCATGCTCTGAAGTTTTTGGCTCTGGAGAGCCCAGTTCTGCCAGTTGCATCCTCCAGCCCACATTCTGGCTGCGTTATTAGAGGAACTGAGAGGCCTAAAATTCTCAAGATAAGACTAATAGGTAGATGTTAAGGAATGATCAACTTCTTTAAAATGAGTCTGTTCAAAAAAATATTCAACAGATTATTAGAAAATATTTCATAGTAGTTGATCCGAATAGTTACCTTTATTAAATATAACGCTAATCAAGCTAATACCATGTACCTATAGTTTGTAGGTACAGATAAAACCAGTTTATTGCAAGTATAATTGAAGTACTGGCTATTAATTGAAAAATTAAATACATTTGAATATAGTGACAGTAACTTATGCAATTTTACTTTTATTATTTCTCTGTAACACTACCTATAACATGGTATTTTCTTACAGCCTTCCATCCATGGGAAATGATGATCTAGGTACAAATAGCATGTGGAAGCTGTATATCCGAGATTTTTTATAGAACAAATCAACTAAGAGCCTCAGACATGGATGCAACTGTTAACAAGCACAAATTGTTTTGACTAATTCATAGACAAAATAGGGAAATTCAGCAGAAGCCACCAATTAATCTGCTTTTTTATTATTATTCTCATATATTATTTAAAATTTAGTTTATTGAGTTATTATTACTTTAGTTATTTTAATTAATAGTCAGCCAGATTGTAAGTTAGTTCGTTCTAGATCAAGATATTTGCATCTTCTTAAATTTTTCATTACACCATCTTGACCTCAAGTTAGCAATCATGTCAAATAGCAGTTTGAATCACAATTGTTTGATAGCTCAATCAATAAAAAAAGATTGGCATTCACAGTTCAAATTATTCATTATCTATATAAAAACCAGAAAAACTCAGAGTAAAATGTTACTTGCCATTCCTACTAATTATTAATACTAATAATAAAAAAGTATTGCTTATAAAATGCAACCTAGCTCATAACAATGGGTTAACTTGATAATCCTCAACTCACATACATCTGAGTAACCTGCTTACTTATTACAAGGCTAAGCTTCTAATTATAGGTGACCTGAAATCCAATGCGGCACCCCAATAAACTGAAATGATATTTGAGTTGATAATAAACTGAAATGATGATAAAATTCTCAACACATTCTGTTATCTAATTACATAACATCAGAATATACAGGGGTTGGACAAAATAAGGAAATGCCTGTCATTTTTACATCATAATTTTTCAACATGTTATAAATAATGAAAACCCAACATATTTGTTTTTGGTTGCTGCTAATTGATATTTTATTCCCGCACAGATATTTCTAGTAAATTTTTTTGTTTATAACCTAACCTATAAATGGCAAACCCCTCTGACTTTCAAAGAGGCCATGCTGTTGGTGCCTGTATTGCAGTATGATATAAGCTATCTGCAGCTGGCAGCAAGCACTCCGATCCCAATGCACAATGCTTTGTAGAAGCATAAATATAATTATTTGTACAAATTCATTGAATCAATATAAAATTGCTTACAATTGAAAAATATACTATGAAGAGGTAATACCCAATCTATGTATACCATCAACCGGGGCTACTCGGGACAATTTTGAACATTTTTCATTCATAACTTCTTACCATGAAACATTTCATAAACAAGTTTAGGCTCATTTCAAAGCTCTTTGCAAGGGCTATCACATGGCTTCTCCAAAAAATTCCATATGCTATTTGTAAGGTGCCAGAAGCAAAAAAAATATAACTCTGTACTCACTACAGTGACCTGTCTCTTATACACATCTAGATGTGTATAAGAGACAGGGCTTGTAGCTCCCAACGGAAGCCCAGCCAGGTGGTATCTTGGGTGGGCTCTAGCGCAGACTTCTTCCAGTTGATGAGGAAGCCCAGCGATTGGAGGAGGTCGAGAGCTCTTTGAGTTGACGCGAGAGCCTCCTGGGCGGATGCCCCCCAGATGAGCAAGTCGTCTATGTATCCGAGAACGTGCACACCC